GAGAATGAGCACAGGTGTTGGGAAGAGTGGGGCAGAAAAGAGGTGTGTTATTGTTGTGGTGATAATAATCCATCCATACAATTAATGGTATGCCATCACCAAGGTCATCAGCCTTTTGGAATGTATTTAATATGCCTCATATTGTGATAATGGAGCCTCCCTCTGCTGGGGACAGGCGTGAGACCATACCGATTCATCATCATGAGAGAAACAAAACTGAGAGCACCAATCATACCGTTCTAAATTCACTGATTTACAAAATAACCTCAATTATATCGATGCCATCGCTATCTATTTTGGTCTTTCTATGTTTATGCTCTCATGTTTCAGGCTAATAAACGATAACACTTTTATAACAGTGGGAATAAATTAGTTGCTACCTCCTTGTTAAACAGCTTTGTGTATTCTATAAATGAGGAAGCTTCTTGGCCGAGGCCCCAGTGGTTTAATATTCTCTGAGAGCTTCCAGACAGTGAGTGGTGGTGCAGCAGCTGTCTCCTGACCCTGCCGGACCCCCACTTACCCCTCTGACCACCTCCTTTCCACTGGGCATGCTGTGGAGATGACAAGCCTGTCAGAAGCTTCTCCTAATGTCCTAATTACCCCTCTCACACACACACACACACACACACACACACACACACACACACACACACACACACACACACACACACACACACACACACACACACACACACACACACACACACACACACACACACACACACACACACACACACACACACACTATTATATACAAGTATTGTGCAGATGTACGTGCATTCACAGTGAGTAAGCAGATGCTGGCAGAAAGAGAGCTTCTGTGAAGATTGCCCATGTGAGCTTTGCTGGCAAGAAATCATACTATAGGTGAGGCATTACATTACACAATAGCAACAATCTCTCCCTCAAGATTCTTAGGAGGCTTTGATTTGAAAGTTCTCAGAAAGTTTTGATCCGGGCAGGGCTGCGCTTTGAATCAGAGCTCCGGTTTCTCTCCTGTGGTAACGAATGAAACGCTCCTGCCACAACTTTCCTCTAAAAGAAAAATAAAGTCAGAGCAGGGCTGGAAAGATGCTTTATAGCAGTGCCTGCTCCCTCTGAGGAGAAGAACAGAAAAAGATGCAGTGTCACCCGAAATAGACAATCCAAATAAGATGTGATGTGTCACTTTGCCGGAGGTTAAGCTTTGCTTCGGCTTTAAGCGCGAGCGTCTCTGCTGCATTGGTTTTTGGGTGCAGAGCACACTGCCGCTGCTGCTCTTAAGTCCATGCTCAGTCAACCAGTCTTGTTAACATAACAGAGTGAATGATTGTGCCTCGTAGGAAAAGGGAAATCATTGTACCTCCCAGCGATTGCAGTTGCTTTGTGATTTATCGACCTCTGAAGTTACAGCATTTGTCAAAATCAGCATGACTTAATAGTCTGTTAGTATAATATTTCATGTTGATTTGAGATATCCGGCCTCATAGAAGTCTTGTTTTATTATGCCAAATTACCTTTCGATAGATGTGTCACCGTGGTATTAAGCAACCGCTGTCTTATTTTATTTTTCATTTTTGCATTTTGAAGCCTGTTTATTTGAATAGCAGAGAGAGCTTGGTGTCTGTCATGGGTGTGGAACTGCAGGCTGGCATCTACAGTAGTCAGAAATGTGTTAGCACTCTCTTTTTTCTTGACACGACTGTGAGAGCAGAACGCTACCTGAGTTGTCATTAAAGCGGCTCGTTGCTGTTTGGGGTTTCTTTTTATGTGCGTGTCAGCCGCAGAGACACTTTCATGCGTGATGTGAGTGACAGGACACACACCTTTGAGGTAACACTTTTTCTTTGGTGTTCAAAGACATTACTGATGCTGAAATGTCTGATAATAAGCCTTTATTCATAGGAAACATGCAACTATCATTGTTTATGTGCTATTGTAGATGCCCCTTTGCTAATAGGAGGCAGGGCACTTGAATATATCTGCTTTTTATCTGCCAGCATTTCTGAAGGATTATCCCTTAATCTCTCAGAGTAAAAACTGTCTTCAACAGTATGTGTCCTCTTGGCTTTTCATGAGAACAACATTCAGGTCATAGATTGGACATTTACAAAGCATATCCCATTAACAGTAAGCAATTAACAACCTCTGTGGGGATACAGGCAAAATCTCCTTCTTACAGTTTATCGTGCAGGAACATGCTTTGCGTCTCCGGTAAGCCAACCTGATTAATTTTTTTTGTTGACTCTGGGGAGAATTAATCTAAGTATTCCCCAAAGTCTTTGCAGGTGAGTGATTTGTAATATACTGACAGGTTGGGCTGGATTAAGTTGTACCTGAGAGCTGAAAATAATAGATGCAGGTTGCAGATACAAATAAATTACTGAATTATGCACAAAATAAAATGTTTCTTACAGAATAATGTATGCTGTTTAAATTAAAGCGTCCACTTAGCTGTACATTCGTGGGCTTTTTCTTTTGTCTAAACTTAAGTTCCTCTTCCAGAGCTTTTTATTGTATGACACCATTTTCAACTGTATGATTTCTTCACAAGCATAGGGAGTATGCGATACATATTCATTTTTATCCTCAATTAATCATCTTTCTCAATTACCCGTTATGTATTTAAATGTTAAATAGTGAAAAGTGAAAACCAAAAATTGCTTAATCCCAAATGTTCACACGAAAATTTTTTATTTTGTCAAATAAAACCCTAAGGTATTTTGTTTTGTCTCATAAAAAACAAGGAAATAGTTAAACGTAGAGTCATATCTTTTTCTATCCTTAGATTAATAATTGTAGCTCTTGTATGGAGTTTGCAAAGTTGCCATGTAGCTGGATATGTTGAAATGTAATTATTGCGTCTGCAGATAAAGATCAAGTGATGAGGTTGAAAGCTCTGTGAAATGATGCTACCAAATGAACCTTGAGACGAGAGATTGTTTTCTCAAATCTCCAGTAACAGTTCCCGTATACAATGTCAAGGGCATTTATGTATCTACAGTATAGGTAATGTATGAATTATTTAATGTGCATTTTAAAACTGAATATGGAAACAACGAATACCAGGGGGTATCGGGCACCATCTTTTTTCTTTTTGCGAGGACAGCCGAAACTCTTTGATGGGTTTCTTTTGTGAAAATCCTGACCTCACAAGTCGTCCGTGTTTATTGGGTCCACTCTGCAGGAGCTCGCTGCTTCATCCGATTTCCTTGAAGAGAAAAAAGTTTGAAGCCTACCTCTGATCCCTCTAATTAAATGAAAACACAGTGGGCTCCACACAGTGAGACAGCATCATTACACACACACAAACACACACATACACCCTCACAATGGCAGCCCATGTGGATCTCTACGGGGAAGTACACAGAGTTCCAGCACGCAGCTTTGTTATGTCCTCTTATGCAGTGCGATCACACACTAGTTTGACATGCAACACACTGCAGATCATGAGCATAAATAAGCAAGGGAATGTTTTACCTGAAAGGAAGAACATTAATTCAAAGGCATCACACTAGTACTGAGAAGAAATGTTGCCTCATTAGTGTTACCCCACTGCTTTTACTGAGCAGCAGCCACAGAGAGAGAGACATGGGGGGGGGACTATATGCCACTCTTACCACACAGGCGGCCTGTCTCCTGAGATCTTAGTTTGCCTCAGTGACTAGAAAAGTGCAGTTTATTCTGAATTTGTTTGGGTGGCAAAGGGTTAAACACAGATGCCTGAATGACGGAGCACCTGGATCCTGCGTCTTACAGAAAACATAATGTGGTGCAAAAATACACGCTTTCAAATGTTCACAATGAGAGTGTTTCCAGCAGGAAATGCAACATCAATCTAGGAGGAGAGCGGGGAAATGTTCCACTTTTTCTGTTTTCCAACATAACGCTCGGGATGAAAAGGAGAAGCGGTGAGGAGACAAGGACAGAGATTATTTGGAGGATGGTTAGCCTGCCTGCTCTGCTCCAGCGTGATTGACAGATTGGTGCAACGGCAGCACCCGCACGAATGCCATCACACGCATTTCCCTAGAAATCTGTCTATCAGCACTGTCTAAGCAGAGCGACAGCCATGACATCTAATCACAAGCGAGCTGGCACCTCATAACTTCTACCTAATGTGCTGCAGGTACAGAGGAGCGAAGGCGAGCGCGGCAGACACACCACAACGCTATTTATAGCCCCTTCAGAGGCCACCAGCAGGAAGTGGATCATCCTGAAGGGTTAGGAAGGTGTCACCGCACTACATCACAAGTCTCTCGGTTAAGATATAGGTCTCTGTTGACAGGGTGATGCATTTTTCTGGGTTACTCTCTTGTAAAGTAAAATGAGGGCAGATATACTAAACATACAAGATGATAATGAGTCATTTACATAATGTTGCTACAACATTATAATTACCTGGCAATTAAAGCAGCTCAAAAGCCTCATTATGGGCTGTCCTGAGGGCTGGTTAGACCGGGACGCATACGGTGTGCTCATTCAAGCTCGAGTTTGAGTCTGGCTATCACGCTCGCGGCCTCGTTTTGTTCAGATCACTCTCAGCTGAAGCAGAATTGCCCCAGAAGCCTCATTATGCTGAAGTATCGCATAATAAAGACAACATTTTGAATGACACCTGAAGTTTTTCAAAGTGGCATGGCCTCCTGGACAATGTTCGCGAAAATGTCCTCATCGTGTGAGATTTGTCACTCAAACCTCTTTTGTCCTGGGGGAATTGCTGACACATTGAGAATGCACAAAGGAGTATAACAAGGACATGTGTCATACCTTACACCCTTATTAAGCCTGCAATGACAAGTGAGACAAGTATTCACTTTAACATACTGTACGCTTTTCACCAGAGCCCCCATTGCTCAGAGTAAAGAAGCTACAAAGTGTGTGTGAAATGTCAATAAAATAGAATATGGTTTGCAAACTATAATTCTTTTTTTTAGATATGGATGTACAGCAGAGGGCAAGGATGTGTGTGAAAGAGAGAAAGAGAGAGGATGGGTGTTGCTTATGAATAGCAGACAATGAATGATGGAAGCTCTCCCGAGGGTGCAGGCCCTGAGCACTGCTGCGGGGACTTGGGAACACGCCAGTCTCCCATGCCCTGTGAGATGCCAGTTTGGGTGGGCACCGTTCCGAATGGGTTCTCTCTTCTCCAGGATACACGGCAGGGTCCTGGGGGAGCGCCTCCAGGCAGTGGTTGCTCCAGGGAGGCATGGCTGGAATCTCAATAAGGGACACAAGGGGGGGGGGAGAAACAAGAAGTTCATATATCCCCTCTGTTCCTCCATATTAATATATCGCTGGATGAATGGAGGCAAAATTGCTCATTGTGTCTGGGACTGTTAACACCTGTGGAAAAATAGAACTTCAAATAAATACATTATGATCCCTTTTGTATTTATCTTTACAGGTGGTAAATAAAAAAAAATGATATGAAGCTTTGATACAATTTAACAGCAGTATTTATCACCAATGAAAAAGTATTTCACCAGTGTAATATAACTCTCTGCTAACAACTTCTTTTCTGTTTTCTCCTATTCTCTTCCACTTTCATCCTCTTCCTGTGCTGTACCAGGAGCTGCTGAAACCGTGACAGGTACTCTTTCTTTTTTCTGCTACCTGCTGTTCATTTGGAAGTGCTTTCTTCTGTGTGTGTGTGTGTGTGTGTGTGTTGATTGGCTGTCCATTGCAGTCTGTTTGTCTGTGCATATTGACATGAGTGGTTTGTTATGGTCGTGTTTTCTTTTCAGGCGAGGAGGAGAGAGCCATGCACTCACAATGCAGATCCACTCCTTTTATTCTTAATTCTCAAATCAACATTTCGCCACATGTAACGGCAGATTTCCATTTGTTTCCGACCACTTGGTTGCCACTTAAGTTGGTCTGTTTTTTAATTAACTTTTTACTGAGATCTACAATGCTCGGAGGTGCACTTTACCAAATGTAATTATATCAACACCGAAAATAAAACACAACTGGTGAAAACAATCTCGAAAACAAGACTTTCCATGTTAGCAGCTCTGTGAAAATGAAATCAGAGCTTTGAGCTAGATGCTTATGCTAACATGTTCACAGTGACAATGCGTACAAGTAAGTTGCAGGTTCTATGTTTAATATATTCACTAACATAAGCATTTTCAATAAATATAGAGTAAATAAGTAAATATGTATAATAATAATAATAATAATAATTGTTCAGTAAAAAACGCTTGGACAAATGTAAGTACAGAAATATAGACATGTTTGTCCATTAATATACATGTATACACTATATCAAAGCCACATTTGGCTTGTGCAACACATGTTTTCTTCCTCAGGAACATGAGTTGTGAGTTATGCAGCTCTCTCCTCTTTTCTGTGATTGTCCAGCTACAAACTAACTCCCTTGTAGAAGAGCTGGGCTAAGCCTTCAGCTCTTCATGTTATCTTGGTTCCAACATGATGTAAGGTATCAGTGAGTTATTGACAGCAGTTCCCTGGTTTAAGCTGGTTTCACTGAAGCCCAAAAAACACATGGCAACAACCACTTTCTAACAAATAATCAATGATAAAAACACTGTATCTTACCTGTCCAGATGCTACAGTAAGTCCAAAATGACACTTTGAAGCACTGCCCTGAAATATTTGTACTTTATTGATTAGGGGTTTGTAAGGTTCATTCATCTGTACCAGACAAATGTCAGCTTGAAACCTTTCCTAATGCAACTATAAGTACAATATTGAAAAGGGAGACTAACAGTGTAGTGAGTCTGATACCAATTTCTAAAAGTCACAAACTTTAAACGTATCCTTTATTTTAGACCTCGGAAAGCAAAGTGAACATGGCTTTTAATTAACTCATGAAGCTTTAGAAAATGTGCAAACACTTGATAAAGGATGCCACAATATAAAGTGGTACTCAATAATTAAAGTGTATCAATACTTTCATTTACTTAGAAAATTGACATATATACCTCTTCATATGTCACCACAGCCTTATTTTCAAGTCATGTTGCAGCATCATTATACAATCAGTTCCACTGAGCTTCTAAGAGATCTTTTCTTTGGTAAAAAAATAAAGATGGTCAAATTAGTGGGTTTGAAATTTCTGGAACCTTCCCATGCAAAGGGTCTAGGAGGAATGGCACAGCGCTAATTATACTCTGAGACTGAGTACTTCTCACTTGTGAATATTCTTAAAACAGCATTTCATCATGAGGATCAGGGTTTAATGACTGAGCTGGGTGAAGGCATGCTGCATCAGAGGAGCAGAGACAGAACTTTTTGTTGTTAATGACTGGCTATAGTCCTGGTTGTTTCTTGAAAGGACACGACTGCTGCAGACAGCGGTGACTCAAGACAGAGGAATTGGATGCTTTGCGACCCCTTTCATGTCTTTTGATGTGAAAACAAGAGAGAAAAGTTCAAAGAGGGAGCCAGCTTCATTCTAAGGTACCCTTCTCTGAACTTCTGCCGGTCTGCTAATATTTCCTGATTTTCGTGTACTTCATAAATTTGGTTGGGGATAGTTGCTGTTTTGCATTTTGAGTGCGGCTGATGAGGCGAGCCTCCATGCCAGACTATTGATGCCAGATTGTACAGCCCCTCAGAGAGAGCAGAGACTTTTGAAGGTCTGCATTTCACTCTGACTGTTTCATTCAGTATGTTGTGATGCGGGAACAGGAGGGCAGCCATGTGTAGAGATACAGGCACTTTACTCTTCCAGACAGCTGCTGGAATGAGTGTGAATTTATCAGCCAGTCATCTGTGCCATGCCTCTGCCCACTCCCCTCCATCCCCACCCACTACCCAGAATTAATGACTGCCTCTCCTCATTTGTACCCAATCATGACCAGGATGCAGAGGCAATTGAAAATGTTTACTCCAATTGCAAAAACCCTCCATGTTCCACAAAGTGCCCGGTTTTCTCTTTGATGGGATTGCTAATCACAGCGATGTTATTTATGTGTGTTTTGAATTGGAGATGAGCCTAGGCCAGGATATTGGAGGGGGACCAACCTTGCTTGGGGCGGCTAAACCTTATGGAGAATTTATCTATTACATTCCCTTTCTCTCAGTCCAACAGATTGGTAGCAGAACAACCTTGCTTTGAGGCTGCTCAATGTTGCTGTTTTGACTGCCAAGTATATTACTTTTACAGCGATGAAATAAAATAGACATCAAAACACTTCACATTGCTTTCGCCTCATCCTCTGCAGCACTTAGCACATGTGCAGAGGAGCTCCAGCACACTTGATATCATTACAAACTTACACACTTCAGCTCTCCACGTGAAGAATATTTTGATTTGAATTGATGCCCGTGGTTAATCTCTATTTATTCATTCTTTTTATGAAGCAAGGAAGTAACTAATGGCTCCCTCTTCTCATTCCTACATCCATTTACTAATTTGGTGTTTCATAAACAAGTTCTAGGCCATGCTAATACCTGACCATGAGGAAATGGTATGATTCGGAGAAAAAGCTGAACGACTAATATATGGTTTAAAAGCCTATACTATACGCATTTATAACATAGCAAAGTTTGTAAATTACTATGTTTGCTTCCCTCATTATTCCCTCTAAATCTCAGATGATCAGAAAACTGATTTTGAAGTCAAATGACTTACCATATTAAACATTACATCTTAAGATTTACAGTCAAAGCCACAATCGTAAATATTGTGCCCCATATATCAATCTTAAAGTACGGTAAAGTAACTTGAGTTCATGTCCTGTCACAGACCTCCAATTAATGTTCACCATTTTATTAACTGTAACTTCAATCTTTCCCTTAACCTTGAATGTTTTATTTGCAATCATTATTCTATTTATCGGGTATCCACAGTGCTCTGGCCAAATGGCATATTACCCTAGATGTAAGTACGGTGTCCACGAAAAGTAATTGAGGGTCACCCTCAATAATATTGAATTCAATAATTTACTAACTGTGACACTGATGAAGTCCGGATGGATGAAAACATGTTGTGTATTACCAGAAAGATTATCAAGTAAACTTGCCTAATACCAAAAAGGAAAAAAGTATGATATTCTGCTTACTCTCTCTCTTAAAAAGGGTTGGATAAATAAAAATGTGATATTGGTGTACATGTACTGTAGCTACAGTGGAGGGAGCAGATGGTTAGCTTAGCGTAGGGGGAAACAGTTAGCAGGCTCTGTCCAAAGGTGTAAAGAAGCTGCCCACCAGCTCCTCTTAAGGTCATTTAACACATTATATGTTATTTGCCCTATTTGAACAAACACTGAAGTGTAAAAAAGGAACAGCCGGCTGAAAAATAGGCTGGACACAAGACTGCTTCGCCTATTTATGGGGGGCCAGCAGCCGTTATCTTAGCCAAGTAAACCAACTGGCTGGTGGCTGTAGGCGACAAATATATTCAACATAGAGATATGAAAGTGTTATTGCTCTTGTTATCCAACACTCTGCATTGAATGATGAATTAGTGTTTTAAAATAAATCAGCCATTACCATACTTTATCCCTAACCTTAACTATTGTATGCCATAAACATTTGTTTTAAAAAGCAAGAAAAAGTTGTCATTGGACGTATAATGAGATTTATGAAATGACGAATAATCAGTATTCTTAACTGGCATTAGTGATGCTGTAAGTCCGTCGTTTCCAATTCTCAGAATGTATCTGGTACTGGTAAGATTGACAAGTATTGCCTTTTTCATGCACCAGCTCTATTTCATGCACCATCTCGCCATTGAATGGGTTGGTTGATTACAAAAATGGGTTTTTCTCCCCCAACCATACAATCATTCACCTTTAGAAGCTTTAACTATAGCGTTCTGTAGTACTATTTAATTTGTTTTGAGTCTGTATCCTATTTCACAATTAAACATTACATTATGTCAATGCCCATTGTAAGTATGAACTGCATTACAATTGTTTAATGGACTTTTATAACATAATCTGTGTTTATAAATGACTTTAATCTTGTCCTGAACCTGATCCCTGTCAGCAGCGTGGAATGAAATGGGTAGTTCATTGCATCAGACAGGTCTGGGGAGCTTTATCTCCACAGGAGGTTAATTTCCTATAGCTTGCCGCATTCACAGAGTTCATTTTGAATCATATTAGTTTGCCTGTCTTTCCCCATTATCACTATCTGAAAATGCAAGAGATATTTGTTCTCCTCCACTTTGTAAATGTCAGAATGCAATACAGGTGTCTGACAAGTCGGGCATGCAAATGTGCTTTTGATGTTTTCTTGGGGCTGTGGCTGGGAGTGCTGTTCCTCCGTTGGTGGGAACCTGAGGCATCAAATCGTATTCACCGTTATACTTATGCTATTTTAGCTCCTGCGAGACAAATGTAAAACAAGGTGACTTTTGATTATGTCCCTGTTGAAAGCTGAGTGGGGATCAAAGCCAGGCTCTTTGTGTGAGGTATAAGTTACATCAACAAGGTCGAAGGACTGTCTGTGGCACTGTCTGAATGACTCAGATGCTTACAGCACTTTTATTCCTAGAGATACAGAACAGCTGAGCACACGGAGCGCACATTGGTCACATGGATCCTCAGATGGAGGGCTCTGATAAAGCTCATCCATAAACAGCATCCAGCCCGGCTCCTCTCTCTCTCTCTCTCTCTCTCTTCTCTCTCTTTAACTCCCCCTCTCTTCCTCCCCTCCTCCACTCGGCCCATATCTACAAGTTGCCACACTCTTTCTTTGTTTCTTTTCCTTCCTACCCTCTCCTCTCTCGCTACCTTCGTGGGCAGCAGAGCTTACAGCCCATCTGGCACTGACTCACAGGGCCCACTCTGAGCTTGGGGAGATCAATAGTGACAAACATTGCACATGGCTCTTATATGAAAAGGATTAGACATGGCCGTCACCAAACAGTCTATGTGGCCTATTCACATATCTCAACAATGTGTGTTTGTGTGTACATCTATCCCTCAGCCTCTCCTCTGAGGAGTCTGCTGAACAATCGACCAAATAGGTTGATTGTTCAGCAGCTTATTATGACCTATAGTCACGTTTTAAAGTGGATGTGTAGGATCTATAGTTTGATAGATATTACAAAGATGATTTGAGGTCTCGCCAGGAGAACGTGTATATACTACGTCATGCCCCTATTCATTTCTATTGACGGCAGCGTCCATGTAAAGTTGGCGACGTTGGTGAGGGTGACGCTAACTTCACATTTACATACAGAAGGGGGAAAGGCATACACGTTCTCCTGGCGAAACTTCAAATAATCTTCGTAATATCTATCAAACTATAGACCCTACACATCCACTGGACATGGATTCTAAAAGTACAATATACACTTCTCGCTCGAAATCTAATCAAAAAGCATTTTAATGGCCAAACTATTCTACAATTTAGGATTTTCCAGAGAGGGTTATTTGTGAACATACGAGCCTCCGGAGCGTTTGCAATTGCCGCAAATTGTTGTTTCTAACACGACCACTTGAGGTGCTAAACTTTAAAACGTGACTATAGGTTGTGATAAGCTCAACAATCAACCTATTTAGTCGTATGAGTTGGAGGACTTGTTGCGATCCCTGTTGCAAGAACTGTAAATATTTGATAGGATTTTAATATGCAAAAAGGAACGTTTGCCTCTCATCTGAAATAACATTTTTCTGTCTGTGTTGTGAAGTCGATGGTCAGAACCTGGCAACCGACAACGTGTCAGTGATCGAGGGGGAAACAGCCACTATAAGCTGCAGAGTGAAGAACAACGACGACTCCGTTATCCAGCTGCTCAATCCCAACAGACAAACCATCTACTTCAGAGAAGTTCGACGTAAGTGCTGCTGCCTCAGACACAATGTTAACCATGTCTCCTGGAATCTGTGAAGTCAGCATGAATTATGCAAACACACTGGGATTGCTTAAGAAGAAAAGCATTTGGCTCTAATTCTTACTACTTAATTTTTTACTCTGCTTCACACCAAGAATTCTGCCGCTGCAGTTGAATGCATATTGTAGACATTGTTCCTTTCACTTACACACTGTCATTTAAGGTATCATTTTATTTGTATTTAACCTTTATTCAACCAGATAAAAATCATTGAGATAAAATCTCATTTACAATGCTGACCTGGCCAAGAAGGCAGCAACTTTACACATTATTACACATAACACAGACATATAATATACAGTGAACACAACTAAGTAAACAAAAAGACAAAAAGCAGGAAACAAACGACATTATTTAAAAATAATAGAGAAAATCAAGTAATTAACCGAAGTGTATGTCAAAGTCTTGTTGACGTTGTAGAGCCACTTAATCATTAACGGTATACATAGAACAAGTTTGAACAAACATGTAATTTATTTGTTCAAAATAATCAGTCACCATTAAAGCTACATGCACTGCCTTTTATGCATATACACTAAATCTGTACTGACAATTACATTTCAATATTCATTGTTCTTTTATTAGTTTGAATTTTAAATAAAACTTCTCCGCCCATTGACCGCAAAAATACGCTCATGACTATATTAGTAGTTTTCCTTTAAGTCCCTTGAAAAAAATATAGTTTCTGTCCTCAGATTCGTGTTTTTGTGTCAGTTACCCATTTTAGGACATCCTGTACTAACTAACCTCTTTTGACATTTGAAGTGAAGGTATCTGATATCACTAGATCAGCTTTTGCTTTAAGTATCACGTGATTCCATCTGTCCTTGACTTCTTGGCTTTTACACAAGTCATTAAACTCAGAAAGTGGCAAGATTAATATGAGATAATACACTGTGCTACCATAATGGGAATACTTTTGTGTCCTTGTCAGTGTTCGATTGTACGATAATCTCTTAGATTAGGATATTGAACATTATGATTATGCATGAGCATATGGGCTACTCCTACTTCTACCAAGTTTCGTCTCTGCTTTTTTACGTGTTTATATCTGGGATGTGAGCCAAGATTCAAGGTGAACGAGAAACACTCTTTATTTCAGTCTATATTGCATCCCAGCTGTTATTTCACAAGTCTAGGTAGCGAGACGTGTGTTCCTTTCTCTCTTGTGAAGAGCATCAGGGGAGACAGGGTAAACATTTGTTGTCATATTTGTACAAAATACCCAATGCTACCTGAGAATATGATGATAAAGAATGGATTTATATAAAGCATAGGTCATGTTGCGCTCTACATCTTAGACATATTTGTATTCTGACACGACTGAGTAGAAAGACACTTGTAACGTTTACAAAAGCAACAATGAATAATAAGCTCTGGGTAACAATCAATATTAATTCTGTACTGTTAAGGACATTTTTCCCAAGGTTAAGACAACCCTTTTCCTCTCTGCTGGTAAGCTGCTTGACATGTCGTTTTCTCCGACTTAGTCAATGTTGTTCTATTCACAATTTCACGACATAAAAGGTTTCGTAAAGGTGCTAATTAGATCTGAAAATATGTGAGATCTATAACGGACGCCGGTGTTGTTGGGTGGCTGCTGTGTGTTTGTGTTCCTCATAAGAGGTCTAGTAAACCCCATAGCAGCACTACTCTACTCCGCTCCTAAAGGACTGCCGGTCCTGTGTGGACCCCCCTCAGCCTGTGGCTTTGTTACCTGTCAACAGGGCCGCTCGAAATAGTGGCAGATCTTTGTATACAGCAAAGTAAACGGCAGCGACATAAAGACACAACAGGCGCTACAAGAACAGCAGCGCCAAGCGAAGAGGCAGAAACAGATGCATAAGTGCCGTACAAAATAATAACAGCTTTAAAATGTCGGTGAAGGCCAAATAAACACATTTCTATTGCAGCAAATAAAGATGAATTATGCCAGGTATACAGGCTGAGCGAGTATTGTTGGTATGAGAAATGTATTCTGCATGATATTCATTCAAAATGACAAGCAATTTTGCAGAGTTGTCATCTGAAATGGGAAAAATTAGCTTTTATCAGCCATGGTGGACCTCTATGGATTGTGATGCAATATTACACCATTATTTATTTACTGCATCCTTTCACAGAAGATGCCTTGTGTTGCAAAGGTTTAATGTTTAAACCTTTTTTCCAGCATCAGATAATGAAGGCAACAAATTCCTAGAAACAGGTTTTAGAATATTTATTATTTCTCAAAAGCGTTAATCGTCACGACTAATTAAGCAACACCAAAGTTAAGAATTCAATCAATGTTATTTAGAAAGAGTTAACCCAAAACTCATCTGAGCGGATATAATTGACAGTGGCGCTGCAATATAAACAACGGGAACCAATACAAAAAGAAAAACACTGAAATAAACCCGTAATTGCAATGAGATGCTGATTGAGAAAATAGCTTTTCAGGGTCTTCAGTTTATTCTGAAAACTTCCTTTATGAATAAAGTTAAAATCTTCTCCAGGAAGAATAGCTGTTCAGTCCATGTTGAATTGATTTGGATATAATGGACTCCCATAATGACAAGTTTAAACAGTTATTACTGTACTTCTCCCCTTTAAGATGAACAATATTTTTCAGTTGTTCTTTTACATACATATAAATCACAAGACTATCTATGCAGTCAAATAAGTGTTGTTTCCATAAATGTGTTTAGATACAGTATATATTTCTTGCATGGTATTTTCATAGCTTGGTTTTCAACACAAAAACAGCTGAAAAATGTTGTCGATTTAACAATTACTGGACATTTAAGAACAATTTGAATTCAATTTTAACTAATCAATTCATTTTGTATGTTTTTTTTTTATTAAAAAGTACCAGATTCACTAATTTCTGATATTTTTATTGACTGAATTGTTAATCAAAATCCAAAGAATATCCCTAAAGGCACGGAAACACCAGGCCGATTATTGGCGTCGGTGGGCGTCAGGCCGACGATGAGCGTCGACACGCCCTATTCAGATTGGTGTGTCCCGCACCGTCGGGTCTTTTCAGCCTTGCCGACGCAGTGATTTCTTCGGCAGTCGGCCAAAGAAATCACTCTGATTGGCTGTTCAGCTAGCGAATCAGTGCATGAGAAGCGAAACGTAAGTGAGGGATCCAAACAAACTATTAAGAAGGCAAATCTGAGATTTCATTTAACTCCAGCCCTCGACACAGTTTCGGGAAAGCCCCATGAGCTTCTCGCTGTAGAGTGAAACTGGAACGCACACACTATTGTTTGTTTATATCACGCAGTCTGTTCTTCTTCTCTCGGTTATCACGCGGTCTGTCTTCCGGTTGTTGCCTCTTTTGATTGACGAATACACACTACCGCCGCCTGCTGGCAAGGAGAGTTATTGCCACTCACGCATGCGCAGTTCGTACGTGCTTCTTGGCCGTCGGCTGAAGTCTTTGCGGTGTCTTCCAGTGCGACACATGGCCAAAACGCAGAGACGCGAGGCGACGCAACAGTCGGTGTCCGTCTGTGTCAGTTCTTTGTTGTCAGATTGGTGTGTCCGGGCCTTAATATAAGTAATCACTACATTTGGTTGCAACCCTTATATGTATAAATATTTTTGAAAAATATGCCTTAACCCTGATTAATGAATACCAGACTATGCTCTTATGTAAGCATTCAGCCGGTTATAAAACTGCCACGTATAAACTTGATCGAGCGTCCCCAAAGTGAAGGGTTTCCCTCCTTAGCAGGTGCTCTGGCTCTCAAAGTGCATCAGTGTCATTGTTTCCCTTTGAGGAGAGACTTCCAAAGAGCTCTCAAATTATACCGGGGGATGAGGTTTCATGTTGACACTGGCCCGAGACCTTGGGTAATGATGATGATGCTAAGTGTAAAGCCTTAGGGGAATAACAAACTCCCTATGCTTTAAACAGGGCCTGAATACAGTTTGTTAGCCTAAGGATGTGAAGAGGACTTGATAAAGAAGGCAGGTCAAAACATCAAAAGGGCTCCAAATCAAATCAACCAGAGCTGTTTATGTAAAAGAGTGCTTAGAGATGAAGGCTGACTCAATTGAAAAGCAGAGTAAAATCTCCGAAAGAGATGGCTAACCTAGTTTTACCACATTACAATACAATTCAGCCAATCTATATCGGCATTAGTATACAGATTCCCAGCTACTTCTGATTTAAAGTTTCAAGCATCCAACCCTCTCTACCTCGGCTCTGTGATTTAAGTCATTATGTATGTTTGAATGGCTCCCCGTTTTCTGGAATATGTGAGTTTGCTGCATTCATCCATGACCAGCAGCAGCCCACTTTAAGAGATCCTAGCTTGTTAGGAGTCCTCATGAGCACTCTTCACACTTTCCTGTCTTAGCGAGTGCTCTGTGAACTGTAAAGCTTCTTTATAAATCAACTTGTATGAATCATTTTGAAGCTCACTTTTCTTTTACTCAATTAAAGAGAAAGCCCACAAAAGGCTCTCTTGCCCCCTTCTCCATATCTCATTCTCCTCTTTCGTCTCCTTTGTCTCTCTCCATCCAATCTTTCATTCTCACCCCCTCTTCCTTTCTCACCACATGTCTCACGTCTGTGTCCCTGTACTCTGTATCCTCACTGTCTCTGTCTCACATGTATCCCCACAGCTCTGAAGGACAGCCGGTTCCAGCTGGTGAATTTCTCTGACAATGAACTGCGGGTGTCTCTGTCCAATGTGTCACTCTCGGATGAGGGACGCTATGTGTGCCAGCTCTACACAGATCCTCCTCAGGAAGCCTACGCAGACATCGCTGTCCTGGGTAGGTGTGAGGTTTCATAAGTGAACCTCACAAGCACCCATCACCTAGCTCATCACACACATTTTTATTGTATTTCGCTATGCTATAGAGGGGGGACATGAAATAATAGTAATCTTTGATCCTGTTATCTTTAGCAACTGAAACAAAATGTCAGCCAATTAGGTTCTTGCGGTGCTCTACAGCATAACGAAAAGGAGCAGATGCTGAAACCGATGGCTCAGACCACGTTGGTTTTGGCAGCTGTGTTGACTCTGTGAATCCCGGTGAATGTTGACTTGGCTGCTCCAAACGAGTCCCTATTGAGAGTCAGCTGTGCCACACTTTGATGCTTTGGAGTGAAATTACTCTAGTTAAGCTTTATTATACATGCAGACATCCTGGGGGATTGAAAGGAATTAAAAGCACTTTAAAGTAATTACTCTAGTTGTACAATTGAAGCCTAGCTGCAGTATTTTCTGAACCAAGGGTTGCATTAAAGACTCCTTGAAATGAACACCCCGCTGACTTTTTGCTTTCAAGTAACTGGAGTTCAGCCAGTTTGTTGCAATGACTGATGTAAGGGACAATTGTGCCTTATCCTAATCTCTGTACATTTAGTATTGAACCCTTGCAGGATGTAATCACATGTACTTACACAAAATAACTTTGGCTCAGAGTGTTGGGTAACAGTTTCTAATAAGGGTTCAACTCATATTGATTACATATATGATTGAATGTTTGTATTATGAATTTGTTTAGCTCAACAATGAGAAAATGAGTTTGTCATAATTGTGAGATGTGGTCTGTCGATCCACCACTTTGATCCAAACTGAGTTAGAGAGCTTCTTTGCCTTTTTATTGGATGGACAGCTGAAGATAGACAGGAAAACAGCAGAAAAGAGAAGGGATCACATGCAGCAAAAAGGCCAAAGTCGGGACCAGAACTCAGCTAACTTAACTAAGTCAACTAAATGTTGAGACAGGAAAATAATTGCAAAGTCACTTCATTACACTTTGAATTGATCCTGGTCCGGTAGAAAATTACAATTCCAGACGACCCATGCATCTGATCAGTCTCTCTGAATTCAGAACAGTACTCTCAAAGATACATGCTGCGTTACCCAGCGCCAGCGGCCCTTGTTTGTGTCTCAAGAAAATCCAGCAGTAGCCAGTTCACACAAACTATTCAATACTTTGACTATTTAGCATAATTAAGACGAACATGAGATTACCAATTCTCGCAAGTTACCTACACTTGTGTTTCTTCAAGCAATGTCATATCATTCATGAAAATGACCATTATTATTTTTAAAACTCAGTAAAGGTATTAATCAAAGAGGTGTTGAGAGTTCGTTGTGAGTTCATCATTTGTCGATGCAGGAATCCACACATTACTTAAACAATCATCAAAAGCCACCAAATGTGTGTGTCTATAAATGTTGTCCTGCTGTTGTAATTCTGACTTTTGCCGTGGGTCAGTCCCTCCAGGCAACCCAATCATCGAGAGCCGGGAAGATGTGGTCAGCGAGGGGAACGAGACGGAGCTCACCTGCACAGCCATGGGCAGCAAGCCAGCTGCCTCCATCAGATGGATGAAAGGGGAGGAAGAACTGACAGGTCAGTAGAATAACAGCCTCCCCCAGTTTGCTTCACAAGCTCCAGTCCTGTCCACTTCCCTCCATGTCCCGTTCTCTTGAGACGATTCCTCTGTGAACAAAATGGAGTTTTCCTCTAAAACATGAATGTGTGTTGTACTGATTGTATTACCGGTTTGTGTAGGAAATACCTCGGAAACTAATCATACCTGGCATGTACTGCTTTCTCTCTCTCTTTATTTTATTGTACCCATGTGTACCTTGCTACTTGCTCAGCTATGGTCTGTACAGTAATGATCAAACTCTGCATCCACAACTGCAGAAGCTGCAATCCAGGCCTATGTTATGTTTCATATACATTTTACAAACATGCTTTCCCAAAAGGCACTCATTTTGATTTCAACGTTTTTAGTTTGGATTTAAATATGCTTGAATATTTCTAGTAAACATTTGGTATTGATTGCTGATTTAATTATATGTTTAAAGACAACCCTAAGTCCTTCCTATTTAAAATGTTAATTGAATATAAACGGAAAAGATGGTTGTGAAGTATTTACTGCACATTTAATCTTCATTTCAGAGCCGTCAGTCGGCTGTAGGCTGTTACAAAGAGTGGTATATAATCTGGGGTGGTAAAAAATCCTTATTATCTCTCAGTTATGATTAGGGAGTCATCAATAATTCATCACATACACTTATTGTACAGCAATGGGGGATATTCATTTTAGTCCTATCGTATTTACACAGAGTGGATGTATCTGGGCTTGTTGTCAAATTATATATGTATTAGAATGGAGTGGATTCATTTGGCTTGTTGAGAGATGAAATATTTAGACAAGAGTGAATCTGAAGCTAAATGCCATCTGTGCCTCCAGTGTTCCCTACAGCAGCCGAAGTCAATTTCTGTTTATGAGTTGTCGAGTGTTGTGCGGGAGGAGGGAGAGACAACAGGATGGTTAGATCAGCGAAATGCCACTGACATGCTGAGCGGGGCTAATCCATAGTGGCAGTGGATACATAAGGAGAGCCAGAGAGTCACGTCCTCCTGTACCCCAGGAAACACAAATCACTACTCATTATAGACGTGCTAAACAATTCATTAGCTCCAGCACGCATTGAGATTAAAAGGAACACATCACACTGGTTTTATCTAATCTTTGAGGTCCAGTTTGTCTTACGTCCGTGTGCAGGCAAGACAGCCATAATAGCATTAAAGACATTTGCAGGCTGATTTAAACACACTTTCAAATTGAGTGAATTGGTTTTGCAACCATTTGTCATGCTGGCAGGGAGGGGACTTTTGGGCTCCAGCCTGAGAGAGACCCAACACAGAAGGTGGCAAAATGCTTGTTAGCATATTTGACAGCTGCAATATTATTTAAATGTAGTGGAGCCTGGTGCTCTGCGGCTACTGCTGCTCCAGAGCATGAGGAGGTTGGTTCAAATCTGTACACAATTGCGTGGAACTGCATGCAGGAGATTATTAAATCAGAATTTTTTATTTGAATTTAGTTTTTACGTTGTGAAAATGTCACTTTTACAAATGTCCATTAATAAAATGCACTCCACATTTTAAGTTGCTTAAAATTTGAAGCACATACTGTACTCTATAATTTAAGTTTTATTTTACACTCAATTATAAGAAACATATTTTACATATTGGAACAATTGTGGTCACAGAGTTTAGCATCTACACCGATATTTCTTGATGTCGAAGCTAGTTTTAAGTAGCTTGATCAGTGGCTGCTTTACGGTGCGTTGTCAGGGAGACGACTCGATATGAAACTGACTGAAAGAAAATGTCACCCTGAGAAGAGGCTACGCTTGATTGCGCTGGGATTGATCACTGGTTGATGCTCACAAGAGCGTTTGATTTGACATCTCTGCTGCACCACTCAAATCTCATCTGCATTCAGATTCGAGTCCTTGCGCGACCTGATCCGCAGTTGTTTTCCTCATCTTGGCTTGGATGACACTGATAATTGACAAGTGTTGGTTAGCCTGAACACTGTAAATGGCTCTGTCCGTATGAGTCTGATCTTCAAAACGATGCTCAGGACTTTCAAAGGTTTTCAAAAGTTTTTTATATTCAATTTGTTTTGTGAGAAAAATCATGACCCAATATAATTGACACTAGAGGAAGTCAAATCTTTTTTCACTGCACCGCGGAGATGAGTGGAGGCTTTTCCTGACCTTGAAATGTGTTTTGCCAGTCCCTTTGGTATTTTGCACGATGCCACAACATCATGGGACCGTTCTACCTTATCATGCAGACAAGATACTCCAAGGCAGGATGGTGCAATTTTGAGAAAAATTCTCTTTGAGATTGCATGGAAGCAGCTGTATTTTCCCCCAACAAAATCAGCTATGATGGTAGTGCTATCCACCAAGGGGACTGCAGTCATGACATGTCACATACAACCCAGATTAAATTAAACTTTCAAAGTCACACATGTTTTCTGCCCTCACTTTCTTCCAATGAAGGTTTAACACACTGAATTGCCTTTAAAGTTTATTTTCTTGAACATTTGAAAACAGTATTGGACAACAAACAAAATGATAGTTATTTCAAATGAAGACTCCAATTTAAAGGAGATGTTAAATGTGTTGTAAAAATGAATGACAGAAGCTGGATTCACAGAAGTATAGAGCAGCTTTGGCTTATTTTAAGGAGAAAGAAAATCAATGTTGGTAGATTTAAAGTTGTAAAGGAAATAACTGTAAAATACAAATAGAGTAATGCTACGAGTGTAGTGGCAAGATCTATTCTACTTAAAGGGGACCTATCATACAAAATGCACTTTTTTATGTCTTTTATACATGAAATATGTGTCCCCGGTGTGTCAGGGAATTCACGCAGCATCAGAAAATAAAACCCTCTCTCTTTTCCTCCGTACCCAAATCTCTAAAAACGGGGCTACAACGGAGCTGATCCAGATTTGCTTCCGATATGACGTAATATCGGAAATGTTGGCTGGCTTTACACCCACGGCCCTATCAGAAACAATGCCCGACTGTTTTGGACGTAATATGGTCAGTGCATGTTAACATTAGCATCGCTAACACTCAGAGCTAACCTGTACTGCACAGAGCATGTGTGTGAAGAAGCAGGAAATAAAAGGAACTCACCTTGTGGTATAACCGGCAAGAGAGAAAGCCTTTGAGCTCCATACTGTTTCAGAAATAATCCTTGATAATCCATGATATGGCGTTTCATCACGGCAGTATTTAGTTTAGACATAGCTGCCGGGTCCCGCATGAGCTCACCGCCCCCTTTTTTTCTTTATCAATTTTTATTTTCTTAAAGCTTTATACCCAAAATCAGCACTTTTGAAACAGGAAGTGAAATAGAGGGATATGAGGCATGGCTAGAATGGGTGATCTGTTTGGTATTTTGAACACTACATAGACATGTTTTTTATATATGTTTATATATCTGAGACCTAAAAATAGCATGATAGGTCCACTTTAAATCAAACAATCATAAAACAGCTCTCATCTAATGAGAACTTAAAGATAATGCTGACAAATCTAGCTTTTGTTGGATATATAAAGATATTGCTTTCTTATTTTTATTCATAACAGTTTATTGTTTGAATATCACTTTGATTATTTTTGATTTGCCATATAATGACAAAACATGGACCTTTCCAAAAATATAAATATAAAAAATATCCATGCTAGTATTGTGATAATGATTTCCACATTTCACCTAAGCCTACCACATGTTCTCTTTACCGTCTGTTCCCGAACCATTTTTAGTAAAGTAGCACTCAGATTAGTATGAGACAATTACTGTGAATGTGTGAGAGGATAATGACTCATTATCTCAATCTTCTAAATCATTCTTCTCTTCACACAGTTCATTGGCGCAGGTGCTCTTGGAAACGCCCCCATTGACCTTACTAATGTGACCTAGTGCAGCGTTTAGTCTTTGTGATTGCATGATGACAATAGAGCTCTTATTGTGAAATGTGTGTTGTTTTTTGGCAAGGAACAAGAGGCCATTGTTCTGTGAGCGCTACAGCTGATCACCGCTCTCCACTTTAACTAAAGATGGTAGGGATTAACTCACTGTAGTGAAGTGAAATCACCTAAAAGGCTTTAGTTAACAACTCACATGGGGCAAAGAAATATATATCACTCGATTTTTAGACCTACAGTATACGTCCTATAGCCTGTGTTTATAAATGTACTGTTTACCATTCAGTTGCCATTCGTTTTCATGTATTACATTACAATCACTGTCAGAATTTATATTACCGCTGTTTCCTGATTACAGAAAAAATACTTTTTATGAAAGTTAGTGGATGAGTGCAGCATGGGTGAAATTATTATTATTTTTCCACTAGAAACGGCCTTGATGGAGGTCTGCAATCTCCAAGTACTCCTCTAGTAATGATAATGTTGCTTTCTCTCCTCTAACAGTCAGGGTGCTCTTCAAACAGCCTGTTTTCTCACCACAGTTGGCAGTATGTAATGCTCGCATGCACATTGACCACTATACCTAGTACTTTACATTTAATAGAGGCTGGTCTTGGGTGGCTGGGCTTATGTTACACCGGGTTAATATCCATCAAGAGGCCACATATGTGTGTATTGGTGATCATCAACCATGGAACAACAGTGCTCTGCCCTCTCTGAGTCCAGCCAGGCTCCCTTGTGACAAGGCTGAAATGGAAGTGTGCTGCAGGTCAGAGTGGGGCTGTAATTATTTCCTCACTTCATTAAGTGCGAGTAAACCATCACACTCAGCACTGCAGCTAATGCGATGCCCCTGTGGCATTGTAATGCTCTCTAAATGAATGCCCCTCTGACAGCCTGAGGCCTAGTGGGCAGCAGATTACTGCAGGGTTAGCCCCAACAATGCTCAACCCTCGAGCTGCAGAGGCATTCATTATCAGGCTTATATGACCTCCTCACTGCTCTCATCAAAATCGCAGGCCTTGGGCCAGTCAGAATCATAAAGTATCATTCGGGCGCCGCATTACTGAATCATAAATTAAATGTAAATGCCATCTGAAAACACTCCACTTTGACAGGTAATGTGCTAATAGCTATGAGTATTTGCTCATTATGGTCACTGCGAGTCTGTGCAGCAGCAGGATCTGAGATTTGTTTTTGAGCTGTTAAGCCGTTAACTTTTTTCCCCATCTTGTGCTCATTTCTCTAGGTGAGACAACAGTTGAGGAGACGTATGACAGGATGTTTACTGTCACCAGCCGGGTGAGATTTTCTGTCACCAAAGAGGATGATGGGTTGCCAGTGGACTGCATCATTGACCATCCAGCTGTAAAGGACCTCCTGGCTCAACGACATTTGGAAGTGCTATGTGAGTGACCTAAATGTGTTTTCAAGCCCAAAACACCTAGGCCCCATAAGACTACATACTTTCTCTATCTTTCTTTGGGCTGTTTGGGGGATAACGTACTTATTGTCAGGGCTCAAAAGCCTACTACAAACATTCAAATAGGTGCCAATCACTAGCAATTACAAACAGAATTAGGTTAAATACTTATACAATTATTAAAACATTTACAGAAATTTATAACTTTCTGCAGTCAAATTAGGGAAACTTGGGCAACACAGTTAACAGAACTTCAACATCCTTTGACGGTTATTAGCATCTTTATGCTGCTTAGACAGTCAAAATATTTAGCTTTTAAAGACGAGAAACGTAATAGCTATGAACTTGTTTCCAGCAGAAAATTGCATTTTTTATTAATACAGGAGCAAGTTTTTGATCTGTTTTGTGATTATCAAAAAATATCTCCTTTGAAGTTCATCTTTAAGACAGTTTAAGTTTTTCTTGAAGACAAAGAAATGTTTTTCAAATAAATAATTTCTTAAGCTTGATTTAAAGTAATATGAAAAGTATTTACCTGGAATCGCGAATATGGCCACAAATACCTTAGCCCACGATACAGTCACCACGAGGGATACACACTTTTGCTCAGGTGTCAGATGATGTTTATGTATTCTTTAAATGGTGAATCGATTGGATAGTTAATACAGGCAGCCTTACATTGTTAAACATCAAAGAAAGGTTATGGTACCCTTTTGTAGTCTTTGTAGAATATTAATTTATTTTCAGATAGACCACTGTTTCGTCTGACCTTTCATAGAAAAAGAGAAAGCTTGACTGAAACGGCTTGACATTTTGGTAATCTTTGGCTAGCATTGATAAGAAGAGAGAAAAAAGGTACTGTATACTCATTGGATGTCTACTGAGCATGTAGGATAATCATTTCATCATCCTTTGTGTGTACCTTCGGCTGGTAACTTTAGCTTTGACTGTATTGAAGGAAAAGCCGGTTTTGTTATAACTTGATACTAAATGAGTATTGTGAATGCTCATCTTTTATTTTCAGATAAACCAGAAGTGAAGATTGTGGTGACATATCCTGACGGCTTAACCAGAGAGGGTGATAATCTAGATTTGACATGTATTGCTGAAGGAAAACCACAGTGAGTGTTCACCCAGATGGACGCACCTCAACACTTCAAGAAAAACTCTTGAAAATGTTTTGTCCTTTCTGCAAGTCTGATTATGGACCTTAACCTTCACATTTCCTTGAGCCATTTAAATGTTAGCAGTTGTATGCATGCTGTATCAAATACATCATTAAACAGGGCCCGTCGATGGCCTTCTTCTTAGCATATCTCAGATTTGACCTTTATTGCAGTTTTCGAGCATGGATTGACAGCGTCTGAGTGATGTCTGTGGTATTTGTGCTCTCCAGTCCCCATCAGATCAACTGGCTGAGAGTAGACGACGATGTGCCGCCTCATGCTGTGGTCACCGGCTCTGATCTGTACATCGAAAACCTCAACAAGTCTTACAACGGCACCTATCGCTGCGTGGCGTCCAATGCTGTGGGAGAGGCCTACGATGACTACATCCTCTACGTATATGGTATGTGTTAAGCTTTATCGCACTTGATGTCTAAATGCCATCATCACTCTTTTACACTAGGATTCAATCTGTATTGCTGATATAGAAAGGTGTATATACCTAACTGCCTACAGTAGCTTTGGCAGTCGAGGGATTGCATTGGAACTACACTATCAGGATTTACTACAGCGTTTGTGCAACAAACAGAATCACATTTCAAATGTAATAAGGTGAAAGGCATTATTGAGAGGAACAGGAAGCTTGAAGTAGCAGTAGGTGCTGTTGACAAATCCAGAGAGCTCCAAATATACGTTGAAGATTCAAGCTGCTGCTTTACTTTTTATGTTTGATGAGTTTGAACCGTATACAATAAAAAGTAATGGATAAAGTGGATTTTGACTTTTGACAGCATGTTAAAACCCAGCAGATTAGATTTTATATAAAAGAGAATCAGATGTTTGCTGATATTGTCATATTGTATGCTGTCATTCAGCAGAACCAATTGGTGCCCAAGAAACCATATTAAACAAAACATATTTATAAATGTGTTTTTTAGAGGTGTCATGCTAGCTGTTTCCCAATGTTTTTTTTTTACACTTTATGCTAAGCCAAGCCAATGTTGCCTGCTGGCTGCAGCTTTATATTTCAAGTACAGACATGAGAGCAGTGTCAATCTTCTCATGTAACTCTTGGCAAGAAAGACCCAAATCTCAAACCATTCCTGAACATAGCAACAGAAATGCGTATTGACTATTTGGTCTCATATAAAAAATTGAACACTAGATGTCTGCCGTAAAAATGTGGTTTGGTTCTGTTGACATATCGAGGTGGGTAGAATTCCAATGTGTTCTGCAGCCAACCAGTAAAGGGCAATAAAGGGACCATCTCCCCCTGGACTTGACTTTAAATGCAGCAGACAGTATATTCCCCTCAGTTTGAACCTCAAATGCAGAGACTACTATGAATGTCTCCTCACGGATCTTATTTCTTGTTTTACTCTAACATGACTGTCAGTCATGACTCATGACACACTAGCATGTCTTTGTTGTGATTTCCTTGTTTGTGTTCAACACATCAGAATCCTTTAAACCAGGGGTTTTCAAAGTGTGGGAAGGTGAGCCTCCCCTCAGAGAACATGACAACAGCCGAACCCCCCCTCCCAATTATTGTAAATTATTGTTGCTATAATGCAGGGGTATTCAATTGCATTTGAAAGAGGTCCAGTAAGAGAACATTTAATTAAATGCTCTGTTTTCGCTGTCTACCTTTCTCTTTTTTGAGCACGTCATTTGAAATGAATCACTGCTGTTTCTCTCTTCTTCTCTCGTTTCTGTGTGTGTTTGAATCTATCGTGCTGACTCACTGACTACACCGATTTGATTGGCTGAGTAGCGTCAGCTTCTTAAAACATTAAACAATAACTTTTTAAAACTTTTTTTTTTACATTTTCAACATCGTGGATAAATCCTTATATGCTCAATGTGTTGCTCCCGGCAACACACTGAACATCAACTTTGCCTCCTTATTACACTCACCCCTACTTTAGTGGGAACAATGAGTCTGCGTCTTTGATGCGCACAGGCGGATGATGCGGGGATGCAATGTAGACAGGAATAGATCATCAGCCTTGACCGGTACTTGCTTTTGATCAAAGTCAATGCGGAAAACCCGAACTTACACAGGTAGGTGGAGGCAGGGGCGGACTGGGACTAAAAATCAGCCCTGGAATCTCACCCAGCCCAGCCCACACAAATTGGTAGAGCACGCTAGTCAA